CGACAACCGCTAACTTTATTTTCTTATTACTAACGCGATTGTGTCTCTCGTGAGACATCCCTAAGTGATACTTCACATCTCCTGAACCCTAGAAATACATGTATAATGTTTAGTATTGTGTATAGAAATCAGTGTACGTTAAAGCTATACCTCATCCGCCGGCTCTAAACTACTGAATCGGGAGAAGATATGTTCGAGTGGTTTACGACAGACATTGGCCAATACGTTAAGCCTTCCCCTGTGAGGCATTCCCATTACAAAACTCTCGACACCCAATTCACTCGAGCAGTCAATAATGGCTTTCATCGCTGGAATCAATACTTCGCAGCCTTCGAGACCAAAGCGCTTCTCTGACGACCACTTTTTGGCCAAAAATTCCTCGAATTTATGAGAACGAGTCACTCGGGCTAAAAGTGTCCGCTTTTGCTCAACTGTTAATTGTGTTATTTTCGGGGTTTCAAACTTCTCACGAATCCAATGACACTCCTCTATGTCCGGGATATACATATACTCGACGCCAATGTGTTGGCAATAGACGTCTTCCAAGCGTTTCAATATCTCTCTCAGCGGAAGTATAGACTCTCCGCCACCGATAAAAGTGGCCGACGGGAGCTTAAAGGGACGGTCCATATCTTTCTCTCCTAATCAGTTGACATAAGAATTAATTGTTTGCTAAAACATATGAAAATGTTACCAAAGTTATGAATCTTAAGCCAAGAGCTGTCGATATGTTTGCCAAAATGAAGGGGCGAATGAATGTTTGCCATTGTAATACCTAAAGGGTCCAATTTGGCTGATAAATGACCACGAACCTATCAAACAACATTATGAACATTTAGAGACAATAAAAATTAAAGTAATCACACAATCAAATAAAAATAGTAATTTAAGACCTGATAAGATCTGATGATATACTGAACAGCCAAGTGATCTTCAATATCCCGGAGCCCAACAGCGGACACATTTGGTGTTTGCGCTGTCATTGATGTCATCTAAAGTAAAGATCATTTAATTAAAAGCCGTTTTCAAAGTTTTTGTAAAATTACATTAACTGATGGTTGAGTTTGTGTGCCCGACGCCAGACCCGGAGGGCTTTGGTAAGCGAGTCCGGGCTGTACTCCAGCCGTTGCGCTCTTGAAGAATGCATCCCAACTCTGGATTCAAATAGTAATTCATTATAAATAAGTTGTAATCAAGAATAAAACAATGACTTCCGGCTAACCTTATGAACAGTATTGGGGTCTTTAAGCCACGATCACATGTAGAGAAGGTGTATATATCTTCTCCTCGGCAACTCCTTCCCAAGGACACGACGGGCTCGGCACTTATGGGCTTTGCCCACAGGTAATCTCCGTCTGGTGGCCGACAATAATGACCGCCCGTTGCGTCCATTTATGACAAAACCAAAACCACCGCTGAATTTGAGGTTTGATTTGATGAGACAATTGGTTACTCTTTGCATACTTTTGAGACAATAGTCACTCGACTTCAATGTGAAGACATATATAATACACACTTCCAGTGAATGGAAGCAAAAAATGTTACTTTTATTGGATTCGAAAGAATATGTGAACCGATAATGAGATCGTATTCTGTATTGAAAAATAATTACAGCTCATTATTAGTGCACTATTTCTGACAGTTTTAATCAAAAATTGGAAACAAAAAAAGTTTTATTTTAAGTGAAGCACAAAAATTGAGTTACTTTTCATATGTAAAGAATGGCTATCATTGGGAACCGTTAACAATGTATTAGATGTCTGTCGTGTCACTAATATTGGACCCCATTTTATTGTCTGAAGTGTCGGACAAATGAATTGCATGTGAAATGCGCCCATCAATTAAATCTTCAATTTAATAGTTTTTTACTTTTGTTCGCAGCTTTTCATACGATTATAACTATCATAATCATAACTATCATGTCCGTTCATTAACATTTTACTGAAAATTTAAATTTAAATAAAAAATTTTAAATAATTAACACGTGTTTTAAAAAATCTGTGTGCGTTACAAAAAATTGAATAAAATTCACATGTTCAATTGCTTTCTTTTAAATTTAATTGACTTTAATATTCTAAACTTGGTATAGATTTTATATTCCAAGAGGATTGGATGGAATGTAGTGCGAATCGAGTTGGTTAGAGGTAGGGTTGCTAAATTATCTTTTAAAAATCCTGTATAAATGTAAGAAAATTCCTGTATTTTCGAAATATTTGTTCCTGTATTTTTCAATGTACATGAAAATTTCAACCACTATGTATTAGTGACATCTTTATTTGACATATTAACTAAATAAATCACTAATTTGTGCAATTTATGCCAAATTAATCAAAACTAGCCGAACGATCCTATAAACCACATTATTCATATCAGTATAGTGGTTAAAAATGTCTCAATTCTTGTGTGTGCTGCAAATATAAAAGTTATGAATATGAATAAACAACTCAAACACAGCGATGTTATACGTTAAGGGAACGTTTACAACAGAAGTATAATTGAGGCAAAATTTGTAATAAACATCGTCTTCGGCGTGAATTGTCGACCGATTCTGTTGAATGGGTTCACTGTTTAACTGAATAACTGGTGACAAAGCATCGGTTTCGGTGCTCTTCTTCTTTGACATTAAACTTTTAAATGTCTTAAAATGCTTAACCATTTTGTATCACAAATCGTACAAACAATGAATGACTGAAATGAATCGCATTAATAATTTATATAACATATAATTATATCATTCATTGTAATGAACGTCAAAATGTATGACAATTATGATGTAATTTAATTGTATAATACGTGCACTTTGTGTTATATTACACTTATTGTACTATTGTGTTGTATGATATGATTTAAGTAATTTAAATAGTTGTTATAAAATAAAGTTTTTATCACTTTTATGTGTATTACAGCGGAAAATATAGCCATAAAAGTAACGATTCATAATTTAACTTATGATTTGTCTCCGGTTTTATTGTTTGAAACGCTTTATATTCCTATTCAGCCAATGCTTTATTAATATTCAAATATTAAATAAAACAAATATTTTTAAAAATGATCAATGCAGTTTTATGGTTATTTACCTTGTGAGTACCTGTTCAGTTCTCAAAGTCTATAACTTTAGTACTCTTAACAAATATACAACATAATCATTAATAAGTATCACTCTTAATGAAATCGCTTATTTTCATGCAATGAACAAACAATTTACTAAAATTTCTGTTTCGCAAAACATTTTTGTTTTGTTTATTTATTAATAAATATTTTGTTGATCACACGATTGCAAAATAATTGTTTTAATTATTAAATGTAATAATTCATAGAAAAAGATATCAATTAAATCATAAAATATTACGAAACGTTTTTTAATAGATTTTATGCCGCAATTAATCAGCGCTTTCTTTGCGTGAATTCCACTGAATATTGTTATAAAAATACATTAAATTATTCAAAAAGCTATTATTGCCGTATCTTTTATTAAAAGTTCGGTTTTTATTATTAATATTGAAACTGAATTATACAGGAATTATAAGAATTGTTGTAATGTTTTCAAAAATCAAAAATAAACTCATTTGCAATAATTTCCAATATTTTTTTATCACAAATCAAGTCAGAAATTTAAACATAAAATCAAAGTCAAGTCAATGTTTTTGTAGATTATAATTGAAACGTGTCGTTCATGTGCTCCGAATGCTCTTTCTTATGGAGATATTTATTTCCGGTGGCCGTCGATGCGGACACATCTCTTCCCGCATAGCTATACATTTGAAACAATTCATACATTTAGTGTCATTTTGTGTTATATAATAAGTTATATTGCAATTAACAAAAAATTCAAACCGAAGTTTCTTTTGAGAGAGATTGAGATGATTTAACACACAATCAATGTGTGGATGAATATAAGACCAATAGCCCTGATTCTTGTGCTCCTCTTGAGACCACATGAGCTCTGCGTTCGGATACTTTTGGATTTCATCGCGAATCTTATCGAAAGGAAAGGGAGACAATTGCTCGATACGAGTGATGGCCACGTCGTTGTCCCGACCCTTAGCCGTCCTCTCTTTAGTCAATTCGTAATACACTTTTCCCGTACAAAATACCAATCGCCTCACGTTTTGTGCGTTTTTCGCCGCCGGACCTGAATCTGGAATAATTGGCAAAAACTGTGTTCCGACAGTCATCTCATCAAAACTGGATTTCGCTTCCGGATGTCGAAGAAGCGATTTCGGCGAAAATACAATCAGCTGTTCAATCAGTAATGTAACAAATTAATAATATATTTGTTAAAACCACAAATAGCTTAGAGTCTAGCCTTAGACTATGATTAAAACAAGAACTCACAGGTTTTCTAAAGGGAAGAGCTATTTGTCGTCTCAATATATGAAAATAATTGGATGGTGTACTGCAATTGGCCACGATCATGTTGATGTCATGCAATTGTTTCACTGCAAAGTCCTCATCGATTTGCTAATTATAAAACAATTAATACATTAAAACAAATTTAGGATAAATAAAAGAATGGAGACTAACGGGAAACTCATCGGCTTCCGAATCTGAAAGCTGTAGGAAGCGTTCGGGTCGAGCGCTGCTGTGTTCGGGACCCATGCCTTCCATACCATGCGGTAGTAATAAGACGAGACCGCTCTGGCGAACCCATTTGGATTCACCGCTACACAAACACTGATCGACAATACACTGAGCGGTGTTGAAGAAGTCACCGAACTGTGCCTCCCATATAATCAATGCGTTCGGATTAGTCATAGAGAAGCCTAACTCAAAACCAAGGACTCCGTATTCGGATAAAGAACTGTTGCATACGGTATACGGCGCCTGATCTGGATATAAGTTACTCAACGCGTTATAAGTAGTTTTGTCAATTGTCTGGTGATGTAAGACATGGTGTCTGTGACTAAATGTTCCCCTTTGAACGTCTTGACCGCTAAGTCTGACGTGAATTTTATCCTTCATTAATGAACCGAAAGCCATGGCCTCCGCGAGAGCCCAATCGACGGATCGGTTTTCAACCATTTCTAACCTCGACTTCAGAATTCTTTTGATTCCGGGATGTATTTTGAAGTCTCCGGGCGGAGGAGTACTGAATTGAGTGCCGATATGTTTAAGCACTTCCTCGGGAGCACCGGTCGGATCGCATTTCATAGGATTTTTGGAGCCAAAAAAGCTACTCCACGGGGAGTCCAACCAATGTTTGTCGTGAATCTTCACCTCTTTCTCTGCCTTCTTAAACGCTTCCGTAAGAATGTCATCGTATTGTTCGTTCAGTTCTTTAACAAAACTTTCTGAAACACTGTTCTCAGCGACGAGTTTTGCCGCGTATTGATCCAAACACGTCACCTGTTTTCGGATCTTTGTGTACATCAATGGTTGGGTAAACATCGGTTCGTCGACTTCGTTGTGACCATTGCGTCGATAACACACTAAATCTATGACACAATCTTTACCAAACTTTGCTCTCCATTTGGCGGCAACAGTACAGACATAGACCACAGCCTCGGGATCGTCAGCATTCACGTGAAAGATGGGAGCGTTTACGACACGCGCCACGTCTGTACAGTACGGCGAAGAACGCGAAAATCGCGGGTCAGTTGTAAAACCAATTTGATTATTGACCACAATATGAATCGTGCCGTGAGTTGTATAATCGGGTAAATCACTCAAATGAAAGGTCTCGTAAACCACTCCCTGTCCAGCGAAGGCCGCGTCTCCGTGTAATAGAATAGACATTACTTTCTTTCCCTGAGTGTCTTTGCGATAGAACTGTTCGGCTTTAG